TCTTCCAACAACATGTCATACCTTTTTATCCTCATTCAATGAACCATTTCATTATACAGGAAAAAAAATTTTATCTTAATAAGATCCCTGTGTGGTCATTACAGTTATTCCTAAATGTCTTGGATATAGGATTCTTTTGTGAATAAATCTTTTTCCCCATATTTTTCATGATTTTCCCCTGATGTATAAGCAAGTGATCAACTTTTCCATGTTTATATTCCAAAGCTGCTGTCTTTACCAGTCAGTTCTGCTAGGTTTATGGTTTATCAGTAGAAAGATCATCTAATCTGTTGATGATTAAGATTCAAAAATCCTTTTTTCAAAAAAGTTGAAATCATTGTCTTTCATGCCACATTACTTTGGTTAGAATTCTAAGACTGCAAAGTAATCTTTGGTTTATATTCTTTGGTTTAGTAATAATAAAATAATAGATATTCTTCTACTTAGGTTATCAATGTTGGTGCTTCTGTAATGTGATCTTTAATTATGACATGTGTTCTTTTTATTCCAATATACAGTCTCTTTCTTATTAAGGAACTAGCCAACCTTATTTCTAATATTAAAAATACAAATTTATTATAAATGGTTGAATTTTGTTTAGTACCTTTTACAAATACTGATATATTTCCTTTTTGAGGCTGTTTGCTTTCTGTGATCTCTTACATTTTATCAACTTTCTATATCAATTTGTTTTAATGTTGAAGTGTCTTCAATTCACCTACTGTTGTGTGGTTTTATTATTATTTATTTTTTATCATATGCATTTTACTAAGATTTTATTTGGGGTGTACTTCAGATCTGGAGTCTTCATGGGAAAGGCAACTCATTGATAATTTAAAAAATATTCTTTCAAAGTATTTATATTGAGATTTTCTACCATTTTTTTATCAGTAATTGTTACTTAAAACCATCCATAAGAAGTAAGAACTGGATCGTCAACTGAACACACCCATGTTCTCAATCACTCAAAATGAATCTATTAGCTTATGGAGAGGGAAAAAAAAGGAAAATATAAGCATACTAGAAATGTTGCAGACTGCATGAAAGCAAGATGGGAGAATAGATCATGTGTATGGAGCCAAGAGCTGCCTTAAATACCAAGGAGATAGGTGTGGCCCCAAGTGGTCCCAATGCCCAAGTGGACAGGGGAGACCTGTTGGGAAAGCAGAGGGAAGTTCCTGTAAGTGGAGAAACAGGAACTGATGCTCAACTCTCTTCCCTGAACTCCCCAACGCAGGCTTCTTGCTTGAGTGGACATTCTCAGGGGTCCCAGTCCACAGGGGCCACCTGATATGCCCCTCACTGCTGTGACCAAACTGCATGGAAAAAGCAAAGGCATGGAAGCAAGATTCTCACTACATTTGCCAACTATTAGGATGAACCATGTGCAATTTCTGTTTTTGTCAGTTAAAAAAACAAAACATCAGTCATGACATTTGGTCCCCCCTAATTTGAACCACTGGAAAATGCCAATATTTGATTGGATGAAAAGAAGAAAGAACATCAGGAGATAAAGTAGTGAACAGAAGAAACAACTACAAAAACACTTTTAATAAGTAAAATTAGTATTAGGATCAAGAAAATATTGCCTTTCTAAAAAAAAAAAAAGTCAACTAGACTTCTGCTGTAAGGTTGCAATTTTTTCATAGAAAATCTTTTTCCCAGTATGATGAAATAGATAAAAACTAATAAATGATTGACATCAATTTCATGCCCAATCCACCAATTATAAAGAAGGAAGAGAGGAGGACAAAGAAGAGGAGAAGGAGGTGGAAGAAGAAAAAAGAAAGGGGGGGGGTTGTGAAGGAGGAGGAGGAGGAGGAGGAAGAGAGGAGGAGGAGGAGGAGGAGAGAAGGAGGAGGAGAGAAGGAAGAGGAGAGAAGGAGGAGGAGGAGAGAAAGAGAAGGAGGAGGAGAGGAGGAGGAGGAGAGGAGGAGGAGGAAGAGAAAAGGAGGAAGAGGAGGAGAGAAGGAGGAGGACGAAAAGTGTTTTCTAATTCAATTAAAGTAAAGTAGAAGAATAGAGTTGATTCTTCTCTGACACTTGTCTTCAGTCTCCAAAACCCATTCTGGGAAATTTCTGTTTTTTTTTTTTTTTTTTTTTTAACTAATGTAACTGAGCATAGAGACAAGAAAGTGAGGGGGTGTCTTTATCCTTTGACTCTTCTGACCAATGAGTAGAAGAAACTGTTGCTGGGGAGCAGTAAAATGTGTGAAATGAATTAAACAAAAACTGCAGACTGGGGCTGGGGTTGTGGCTCCGTGGTAGAGCGCTTGCCTTGCACATGTGAGGCACTGGGTTCGATTCTCAGCCCTACATAAAAATAAATAAACAAAATAAAGATTAAAAAAAACTGCAGAGTGAAAACATTGGAGATAGAAAATATTTTCAAGAACCAACCGAAAACAGGAAATCTGAAAGAGGGGAAAAGTTATCATGTTGACTTTTAGGAAGGCAAATTGCTACCCTTTATCAAAGTAGAAATGATAAATCCCTCCAGGAATTCATGCTAAAGAAATACCTGCACTTGTGCCCCAAGATGGATACACAGAAATGTTCATTTTCCACATAGTTTGCAATGTCCATCARTAGAGAAGTGGTTTAACAGTTCAAAAGACAACCTTTTGCGGAAATAGACTGAGGTTCTGAAGTTGGATCTGTTAGACCCATATATCATTATGAGGTTTATCACCAACTTATTTGCTGAAGTAAAAAAAAAAAAAAAACAAGTTTCAGAGCAAAATGAACAAAATGATCTTACAAGTAGATTTTCCCAAATGACAGATAAGACATAAAAACATGCACACTCAATTGCATCAGTGAGGATAAAAAATGAACACCCATATCTTTGAGAAGAGTACAAAGCAAGGGATATGGAAAAGAGAATATTCTTGATTTGCTCTATACTTAATAGCTTGACTTTCTTCCATAGTCATATATTTACGTTTCATTTGTTTAATAGTTAATGAACATTCAGAACTTGTAATGTATGCTATATAATGTACGAAATTTTAATATATGTAATTTTAGAAGATATTGCATCTGTCTAAATCATAATTCGAATTCTTATTTAATATGCTTTTATGTTCCTTTTTTAAAGCTTGCCAGAGTTATGTCTATTCATTTATTTTGTTCAAAAAGGCAACTAAGAAATATAGCTACTATTTCCTATTTTCCAATTCATTGATTTTTGCTTGTAGCTTTATTTCCTTTCTTCTTTCCTCAGATGTGTTTTGTCATGCAGTTCTAGAATCTTAAGCAAGAACAGAGAACATACGCATMAATTCTTATTTTTCCTTATTCATTGGTGGAAGTGTTGAGAGTTGTAAATTTTATCTGAGGTTGTAAGATATATCAGTGTAAGACAGTGTTTTCCTTCAAAAAGTGTTTCTATGTGCTGTTTGTATCTAACCATAATAGATGAAATGCTGTATGGCAGGCTTGTGCTTTGAGCCTAATATAAAATGTCCCACTTAACCATTGTAGCAACCTTAAGAGTAGGAACACTTTTGCTGCATTTTAAGTRTAAAGAGATTGAAGCCTCTGTTTGGGAAACCACCACATCTGTTTTTAGTTCCTGTTGTTTGGAACACATGGGTCCAGCCTGACTACAGGGGCCAGTGAACAAATGAGCCAGGAATGACAATTTCTTGGCCACAGAGATTGGTTCAAGAGAAGGCAAGTGACCCAAACGTAGTCAGTTGGAATTCTCCATGATATTGTTGCTGGAATTCCCAGGAAAATATAAAAAGAAAAAAAAAAAACTGTATCCCATGAAATCTTTAGTTATAAAACAATATACCCCATTGTTGAAAGAACCATCAAGGCTTGCCATCGGAGAAAATGCCCATTTATTGAGGAACAGCTCTGCATATTTATAGAGCCGGGGATGGTGTGACAGTTGGCATGGGGTATTTTTTTATTGGTGGGTAAGGATCAGATGACCCAACAGGGCTAGTCTGATTGGTGGGTAAGGATCATATGAGCCAGCAGGGCTAGTCTGATTGGTGGGTAAGGATCATGTGAGCCAGCAGGGCTCACCATTGGATGGCAGGATCATGTGAGCCAGCAGGGCTCACCATTGGAAGGCAGGATCATGTGAGCCAGCAGGGCTCACCATTGGACAGCTCTTCTTGGGGGATGGGGAAGTTAGGCTTTGGAGCCGGGGCGACTCCCAACAATTGTGGATAGGGATTGTCTGATGTTGAAGACACACACACATGGGTATCTGTGTTGATTTATGGAGAAAATCAGACACATTTTAAGGGTACCAACCCTCTGTACCTACCATCTGAATACCAACAAACAAATGTTTGTGAAGCCAGAATCATCCCTTAAATTTCCAGGTTTTATAAGCCAATGCATTCTTTTTTTGCTTTGGGAAAGTTGAGATAATTTTCTATTATTTAGAATTCAAACAGTCCTTAGAAAATGGATACCCCCAGGTCCTATAACTGTAGTTGGTTGTTCCAAAATGTGTCCATGGGTAATCCAATACTAGCACTTTTACTCATAATCAGTAACATCTTCGGTCTCTATTAATGCATTATCATTCATTCATTCATTTAACACAGATAACACTGGAGAGATAYAGGCTAGATCATTTATAGTTTCTTATTTTTTTAGGTCTCTCCAGAAATATTTTATTTCTRTATTAAATATGATATATATTAATGTAGAGTTGAAATTCCCTTTATATTTCAYTTTGTGACATAATTATATCTTTTTCTTCAAATTTCATATTTTGAATGTTTATATTAGTWCATTATAGTTACACATAATGTAATGTGTAGGGTTTGTTTTGACATRATCATACATGCATGGAATACAATTGGCTCCTTTTTAGTTCCTGATACTTCCACTTTAAAAAATATGGAACACCTAGKGGCTGGGGATATCACTCMGTTGGTAGAATGCTTGCCTTGTATGCACAAGGCCCTGGGTTCGATCCCCAGCACCACAAAAACAAAACAAACAAAAAATAAAAACTTACTTTGAAAAAAAATATGGAACACTTGAGAATTTGTATGCCACAATCATGCAGCGGTCATGCTAATCTTCTCTGCATCATTCCAATTTTAGTCTATGAGCTGCTGAAGTGAGTGAGCATCAGTTATACCCTCTTGAGACAGGGGGAAACATTCAGAGGGGGTAGGAAAACTTTGAGGAATTTTAAATAAGAGTAAAGTGATGTGATTTGTTTAATTAAAAGATGGCTTTAATGTTGCATGGAGAATCACTCATCAGTAAAAGAGAATAAAATCATGGCATTTGCAGGTAAATGGATAGAGTTGGAGAAGATAATGCTAAGTGAAGTTAGCCAATCCCCCAAAACACAAATGCCAAATGTTTTCTCTGATATAAGGAGGTTGTCTCACAGTGGGGTAGGGAGGGGGAGCATGGGAGGAATAGATGAATTCTAGATAGGGCAGGGGGGGGAGGGGAAGGGAGGGGGCAGGGGATTAGCAATGATGATGGAATGTGATGGACATCATTATCCAAAGTACATGTGTGAAGGCACAAATTGGGTGTCAACATACTTTATATACAGAGATATGAAATATTGTGGTATATATGTATAATAAGAATTGTAATGCAAAAAAAGAAAAAAACAAAGAACATGTATAAAGACATGAGTTGGCGTGAACATACTTTATATACAAAGATATGAAAAATTGTGCATTATATGTGTAATAATTGTAATGCATTCTGCAATCATGTGGTTAAAAAATAAAGTCAATTAAATAAAAGAGAGAGAGAGAGAGAGAGAGAGAGATACAACAGGGAGAGCAGAAAGAGCAGGAATATCAGCAAAGAAACTGTTGCAGTTTTCCAGAAGAAAAGCCTTGCTCTCTGGAACTAGGCTATTATTGATGAAGTTGCTGATAAGAGGAGATATTCAGGATGTATTCTGCAGGTAGAAACAATAGATCTGCTGATGGATCTAAAGTAAGGAATGAATAAAAAAGGATCATCAAGAATGGCTTCTAGGTTTTGACCTTAACAGCCCAGAGAATGATTGTACCATTTACCCAAATAGTCCTTATTTCCTATCTAGGGAAATCCAGATGGTTCATACTGGCTAATGAATGAATGGCTTCAAGTAGAATACCTCCCGAGCAGGAATCAAAAGTAGAGTTTTACTCATAGCGAGTTTAAGATGCCTATTTTGTAGTTTTCCATATGGAGCTGTCAGAGAGACAGGTTTGTCTGGAGATCAGAAGAGAAACTGTGATTAGAGAGGTGAGTGTGTAGACACCAGTTTATTGGATGCATTCCAAACCATGGGGAAAAATTTAATGTTGTACTRAAGAAAGAATAGAAGACAGTGTAAAACAGAAAAGTGAAAACCCTGAGACCTAGAGTAATTATATAGTAAAATTTGAAAAAGGAAGAATGTTTTCATCTGTTTGTGCTGCTGTAAAAAATGAGTCTGGATAATTTATAAAGAACAGCAGTGTATTTTCTCACAGTTCTGGAGGACTGGAAGTCCAAGATCACAGCACTGGTAGGTGAGTTGTCTGGTGAAGGCTCGTCTCTGCTTCCAAGTTGGTGCCTTCTTGCTGCATCCTTCAGAAGGATGGAAAACTGTATCCTCCCATGGYAGAAGGGGCAAAGGAGAAAGCCAAATGCCATTAAAGCCTCTTTTATAAGGGTCCCAAACCTGGTCATGAAGGTAAATTACCTCTTAGAGACCCCACCTCTATTAAGATATGATATTGGCAATACCTGGATTTTGCCTTCTTTGCCTTCTTGAACTAGGATGTTACTGATGAAGGTACTGATAAGAGAGGACATTTGAGATGCATCTCACAGGTAGAGCAAATTACATCTCCAATATGATGGGGGATATTGACACCATAACAAGGAGCAAGAAGAAACAGCCAGAACTTGTTTCAAGAAGAATCAGCTATGTCAACTGGGTCCAATGGTGCTGTTGACCAACCAGAATTAGGAATGAGAATTGGCCAGAATTTGGCGAGATGTAATTTGTTTTGGAGCTTTGATCAGAAATAGTTTTATTAGATTGGTAAGGTCTAGGGAGGGTTTAATATTTTCCAGATGGGAAATATTACATATGGGTAGTATGTTTGTTTCTTTGTGGAAATATTCTAATAGAGGGAAACACAATTACAGGTAACCTTTGAGGAAGGTTTGGCAAACTGAGGAGAGTAGAGAAATGGAGTGGGAACTGGGAGGGAGATATGRTATATTTCATGTTGATAAGGAAGAGAGATAACTACAGAAACCAAGTCCTTCCGTAGGTGAGAAGTGGGGGGATCTGGTACCCAGGTGGGGGAAATGGAGAGAAGCAGAAATTGACACAGAGTATCTGAGCATACATATAGGGATCTGACATTTGGTGTGGATGGATGAAGCATGGCTACTTTTTCAAGTACTGCCCRTTATTTTCTGTTGTGCATGCTCACTTTTCTCAGATAATTATATTTTATTATCTCAGTGGGTATCCAATACATTTTTTTTAACCATTTTTCCCAGCTCATTTATGTTTTTTCAAGATAGAGTGGGAAGTTGATAGAGGAGTTTTGAGGTGGGAGGTGGGGAGAGAAAGTGTTGAGATTGGGTCCTTTCTTATTGGGAGAGTGAATTACCCAGGAATTCTAATGCAGACAACACACTTGGTATTTGTAATCAGGAACTCAAAGTAAGACAGTTCAGCACAGGGGCATTTTCTTGATCCCTGCTTACATGCCAGTGTACAGGCTAAAACAGATCAAGATCTGGGATCGATCAGGGAGGAAATTTTTAAACAAACACTATGAATTGAAAGAATAAAGGGGAAATTAAGAAGGATGCAAGCTGGGTGAGAAAAGAGAAGGCATGAGTGGGTATCAGTGAAAAATGAGGGAAAAAACTACATGGGGGGGCTGGGGATGTGGCTCAAGCGRTAGCGYGCTCRCCTGGCATGCKTGCGGCCCGGGTTSGATCCTCAGCACCACATACMAACAAAGATGTTGTGTCCGCTGAGAACTAAAATTAAATAAATAAATATTTTAAAATTCTCTCTCTATTTCTCTCTTTCTCTCTCTCATTCTCTCTTTAAAAAAAAACTATATGGGGTGAGTATCTATCATGGGTAATGAGACGATATACCACAGTATTTAAGATTCTTTTTTTTTTTTTTTACCTTGACTTATAGGAAAAAAGCCTATCTAACCCAATGTGCATAAATACACACACACACACACACACACACACACACACACCTCTCTACATATCATTGGTGAAGTTCGTATTGCCTGATCTTTATTACTGAAATGCACTAACATGATACTAAAAATATTGTGGTCTTTTCCGGTTTATTCTATTTTTTAAATTGTGGGTTGCAACATATTATATTCAATTTTAATGGTATTTTAATGAGTTATGGTTCATAGTTGGTAAAGCACTAGTGTTGGGTATAACCGTAGAAGTGGGTGGCAGAGATGGGGTGAAGGAAAGAATTGTTGGAAATGATCAAACAATAGGGGAAAAAGGATTTAGAATGGCTCATCAATGTRGACATTAAATTCACTACAACTGATGGTGAATCATCTATCTAGGCTGTAGCCACTATCCACATGTGACTACTTAAATGGAAATTTAAAAACTTTATTGAGTTATAATTGACTGACAGTAAACTGAACATACTTAAAATGTATAATCTTATAACTTTTGACACACACACATATCATAATCCCAACAAAATATTAAACATACATCACTCCCTTCCTTTACCTCCCTGCTCTGTCTCCGACCAGGTTCCCAGGCAAGACTGTCTTCCTTTTGACTCTATGCATTACTTTTCATTATCCAGAATTTTATGTAAGTAGGATATGACTGCTATAGTCTGACTTCTTTCAGTAGTATTACTTTGAGATTCATCTATGTTGTATGTATCAATAGTTTGTTGYTTTTTATTGCTGAGTGGTATGCTACTGTATGGATACACTGTAGTTTGTTTATTCATTCACTTGCTATGGACATATTGGATTTTTCCATTTGGGGGCTATTAAAGATAAGTTGCAGTAAGCATTTGTATACGGAAGCATACTTTCATGTCTCTCGGTAAGTAACTATGAATGCTTGTTATCATTTTTGCTCATTCATATGTTTTCCATTTCAAATAGAAATCCACATGCCTTGCCCTCCAAAGAAGAATCAATATACAAATAAGCTGATTTTCTGCCTAGACTATCTAAGACAACTTTGGAGTCTTTATAATTCTTTGAATCTTTGGTTATTTGCATATATCAATGAAGGTTTAATGTTCCACAGTCCAATATCACAGCTACATTTGCCCAAGATCTTCGATTAAAACCCACACAATCCCAACTCCAATATCTTTCTAGAAATTCTACTTTAAAAGCGTGATTGCCTCTAGGGAAGGGAGATACAACTTTTCTTTCTGCATGCTTGTAATTGACACTCGAATGCTTCATTTTATAGTATGGCAAAATATTAAACAGCAATTTGCATAAGTTGGGCGGTTTGATCCAAGTATGAACACTGATTTCAGAGGATCATTTAACAAATCAAGTTATGAGTTTACAACTAGCAAAGATACATTCAATTACATCCACCCACAGAAGTGGGCAATATAACAGAAGTTCTCAAATGTCACTCTGCATTGGATGCACATAAAATACACATTGCTGGCCCCATCGCAGAATTTCTAGCTCATTTTAAGTCGGGGTAGGGCAGAGCTTGCAGCTCTGAGTTTAAYCAAGGGTTTCTGGTGGAAGGGCCACATTTTGAGAACCCTTATAATAGCACATAGAACTGTGGGCTCATCTGTGTTTAAATCACAACACAGTCATTTCCAGCACCTGTGAGACCTCGGGTGGGCTATTCCAAGCCTCTCATGTCTACAAGTGGAAATGATATGACATAGCTCAGAGGATTTTGTGACAAGGTAATTTAATAAAGCACTGTAAGCAGAGTTTACAGTTTACTGATAGCTATTATTATTATTATTATCTTTAAAAACATGGTAGCCTATATCAACAAACTTTGGGTGCTATTATAGAATTTCAGGGTACAAACATAATCTAAAAAGAGGCAAACTTGGGTCAATAGTCTGTATGTTTCTATTTTCTTTACCTTTTT